TAAAAGACGTGAGGAACTTCTGTCTTTTTTAAAGACGAAAATTTTTGAGGCGAAATACCCAAAAAGAAGTTTGTAAAAAATGAATCCGCCTCAACAATATAGAACTTATCTAAAAACTTTTAGTTTGATGATCGGCTTTGGAGCAAACCTTACTGGTTTTCGGGGAAAACGGGAGGAATTTATTGCGGTTTTTGTCCCGAATTCGACGCTGAAAAAGTGTTTATAACATTTTCACAAAGCCATAAATTGATCTCGTAATTTTTGGCGTAACCGACCTCCAGCTCCTCAGTACTTTTAAGTGAAACTATACAAAATAGGGCGCTTTTGAATAAAAAGTAAAACACTTTTTGCTACAGTCAGTCAAAGCTGAAGAACTACATTTTTTAAAAAAGCTCTACAGTCTTCAGAGGAATGCGGGTTTGCGAGATTTCCAAATACCGGACACCCTGTATGCTTGAAAGATATTTTAGCATAATTTATTTTTTTCCTTTTATCCACAGTTTTCCATATTTGAAAATAATAATCCAATATCAACAGCAGATACACTATCTGTAAGATAACGCTGATAAAGCCATGCAACTGTACTTTTTGCAGTTTGAGGAAATCAGTTCAGAACCAGACAGGTGAACAAAGCAAGAACAAAGAACATGAATATTACCGAGCGAGATGCCACGTCATTTAAGCCAAAAGTTGCAGAAAATGTCCGAAGACAGAGTCAAGTAAGGACAACAATTGCGAAAGAAACACCCACCGGTAAGTGTTTCCAACACGCATTTGTTGGAAAGTGCCAATTGAAACTATAACACTTTCAGAGCAATTTATCGAACCACGTCGCTTCAACTTGGATGAATTCGAATATGAGCGTGCAGGCACCGATCCAGGGCGAATTGTGATTTTCAATCAGGAAATATTTGGAAACTTGAAAATTTGCAACGATGCGACTGGAAAAGTGGAAGATCACAGGCTGGAAACCCGCAGCGGATCGCGCCAGGATGTGATCGCTATCATTAACACCTTCCAAAGAATGGGCTTCAACATCAGGGCGAATGATGTTCTTTCAAACGGCACTGTTGAAGACGTCCTCGCCAAATTAGATGAAGGCAAGTCGATTGGCCTAAAATATGCCCAACTATATAGACTTTTATTTGAAAAGTTCTCCGAGACAAAGAGTCCCTGGCAGAAACCAACAGCTTGTTCATTTTCTTCCTCACCCATGGGTTGGCCGGGGACGAATTGTACGCTAGGGATGGTATCTTGCAGTGCAGGAAAATCTGGACGAAATTCATCGACTGCAACGAGTTAAAGGGCAAACCGAAAATGTTCATTTTCCAGGTAGGTAGGGGTCAGGTTGAGTCACATTATCCTTATCTCAGTTCGCTGAAAAGTACGCAAACCACAGTGGTTGCTTGCAATGACGGAGGCAGATGCAAGTTTTTCTAATCTTAATTGGTTAATGAAAGCGAAATTGCGTTAAATCACTTAAAATTTGTAGATAAGTTCTATATTGTTGAGGCGGATTCATTTTTTACAAACTTCTTTTTGGGTATTTCGCCTCAAAAATTTTTGTCTTTAAAAAAAGGCAGAATTTCCTCACGTCTTTTATTACAGATTGATAAATAGTGCTCCTACTTCGCAATAAGAACGAATTATTTATCAAAAAGTAATCAAGAACTAT